TTCTCAGAAAAATTTTTAAACACTACTTGTTGTTCCATTGTTTTGTATTTTATGTATTTCCGCACCAACTTGAGTCTTGTTTTTTAAGAAGTAGCAAATTTTTTATCAATATACAAATTTTTCTTTGTTGTATTCATCAACATAGGGAGTTCAGATTATTGTTAGTTCTTAATCAAAAAGAGAAAATCTTTGGACCATACATAAGTCTGATAATCCAAAAATATTGAATACTGAAGTATCTAAGAGAGTTTTAAGAGAATTTTAAAACTGATTAGTTCAAAAAACTCTTTCTAAATGAGAGATTTGAATTTTTTACATTTTTAGATTTTGTCTGGAATTAGACTGAAGCTCGTAATTACTCTAAATATAATAGAATATTTCAATTCTCATATATAACTTTCTCCCGTCATCGTTAAAAAATATTACAATAGTGTATTTTCAACGAATTTCGTGTTTCCTTTCGCTTCTTTTTCGTCTTCTATCTTTTACACAGTCACTCAGCTTTCTGCAGTACGAAATTTTATATCTGAATATCATGTTTCAACATATCTGTTATAATCAGACTTCGGCACCGCGGAAGTAATGCACATTGCCGTCCGATCGCCGGCGCATTTGCAGTCATGGCCTACAACTTCGGAAATAACAATTACTACTTTTTCTCGCTTTTCCTGTGTTGTACGACTTCTCCTAGATGTTAAAATGCTTTAAAAATTAGAAATGACTGTTCAACATCATAATTTTCGTGGTGATCTTGATTAGATAAACCCTGATTTGCATCAAACGCCACTGACGTTGAGAGGTGATTGAGATTGCATAGTCGGCCAGCTAAATTTATTGCCTGACGTCGCGCCGTAGTTTTTAATATTTGTCTGGTTGATTCCCCATCACTTCCGCTATACCTAACTGTGGTTATAATCTTACTTTAGATACTTTTGGTCTTGGGTTTCCCAGTGGATCGAAATAATTAATTGGTAAGAATTTTCATTTTTATGGAAGATTTGTTAGCTATGGAAAGGTGCTGGAAACCAATAGAATCTACGACGTGGAAAAAGTACAAAAAGCGTCAATTGTAAACTTCTTCTTATACTATTTGCTACTGGAACTCTAAAAATTGCTATATTTCAACTGGCGATTTTGGAAGAACGATAGAAATTTTCGAAGAAACGAAGCCGAAAATGACTCCTGAATGTCAGAGTCTACATGAAATGGCTAGTTAATTTTCGAAAATGGTTGAAAAATGGTCGAAAATGTCAAAAGGGTCAAAATCGATCATATCTTATCAAATGCTAGCCCCACCCACCCGCCCTCTATTTTCTTGGAAGATATATATTTGCCAAAAACAGTCTTATCTTATCAAGTACTAACCCCGCCCACCCGCCCTCTATTTTGTTGGAAGGTATATCATTTGCCAAAATCAGTTTTATCTTAGCAAGTACTAGCCCCGCCCACCCCGTGCTCTTCTCATTCTAACGACTAATTTTATTTCTGCTCAGTATAAGATCATTCATTTCATTCAGACCGGATAAAATTAATCACTGAAACAAAGGCAGGGTGGGTGGGCGGGGCTTATTATGTTTCTTTATGGAGTGGGTATGAAAACCAATAGAATCTAGGGTGTGATAAAAGTAAAAAAAGCGTTATTCGTAATTTTTTGTTATACTATTTGGAAGGACGATAGAAATGTTCGAAGAATTAAGAAGTTAATTTTAGAAATTCTGGAAGTTTATTAGAGTCCACATTGGCCTGAGCGCGCTCCAGTCTGTAGATCAAAATCAATCTTATCTTAGCAAATACTAAAAAAATATTCTGCACAATTTCAGTAGCTTTGTTTTTGACGGTATATTTTCATTTCATGATTCGTTCTAAATACAACAAACAGAGAAGAACTGTTACCTATTTAATGTTTATAGAAAAAATAGTTAATTCCTCAGGTGAATATGGACATTTATTTTCAGAACAAACATGCAATTGGACAATAATTAAGTAGTACGATTCTTTCCATGGCCTACTCTAATCTATTTTTTTCTTTCACAGTAGATTACACTTGATTAAAAACGTGTATAGGAGACATAAAATTTATTGAAATCATTTAATAAAAAGTCTTTTCGTATTTACTTTAAACTGGATGTTTTATATTCTTACGAAAAAACCCATACGCTGCCCCGGTACGACGCCTACGGGTTCTAGTATGTACGGCGATGATGATTCATCGGCGATGACGGCGTTCGCCAAAGAAAAGCTTGGAAGCGCAAGTAGCGATGGGCAAGCCAGAAAGACCTCGACTGCGGAACTTCTAGAAGGGAAGTATGGCTTAATAGAGGCCATAGTCGGAAATTATTATTATTCAGCCAGTCCAGTCAGCAAGTCGAGTCCACCGAACGAATTCATTCAAGTTGGGGAAGTAACATACCTTGAAATGAGTAGCTCAATAAGTACTTGAACGCGTGAAAATACAATTGGGCAGCAAAATAAATAAATGGGCAGTTACGCCTAAGCAGTTACTAAATCAGAATCAGTCGGGTAGAACTATTGGTTTAAGTCATGGGAGCAGAATTCTAATTTTAATTTTAGCGGAACTTGAGTAATCATTTTTAACAATTTTAAATTTTGTTAATTTATTTGTATTGACTGCAATAGTAGTATTTTAATATATTGTCGACTTTGAGTAAAGTAAAGAAAACATTTGTTTGTAAATCGAAACATAATTTTGAATAAAATCAACAAAACAACTACAAAGATGTTCATAGAAATATTAAAAACTATGTTAAAACTTATTGTATAATAGAGATAAAATAACGTTTAAGTTTTACCAAAAGCTGAAAACTGGCCAACTATTTATCTAACTGCCCATTCATATGAAATACTAAATATTATTTATCTAAGGTATATTATTTCTTGAAAAAATCTTGCATTACTTGCACATTTCGCAGTTATCTTAGGTTTAAAATCTATTTGCTGTATTTTTCTTCCGATCGAATTGTTTTGTTCTTAATTAGTAAAATTAACAACAGTATTTGGTAAGGTAAGACTGATTTTGGCGAATGATATATTCTCTGGGAAGAGAGGGGGCGGGTGGGCGGGCCTAGTATTTGTTCAGATAAAACTGATTTTGCCCCTATTAATCTTGTAAATACTCCATAGTAACAAGTTAAATTCCCAAATCTACCCGAAATGTGCAAAATATGATGAGTTTTTACTTATTTTATCATTGCATTCATGTTTTTTAGATTTGCTTAAACAAGTGGCTCAAAAAAATGAATGAATGTGTCAGTTTATTTTACTAATTAATCCCAAGGTTCCTAGTGTTGATGTTTTATTTTTGAAGAAGATCAAATAATTTATGAGACCACTGGTGTTTTACTTTTTGAGAAAAATTGAAAGGAAGTCCCTTGTATATCTTATTTTAAGAACTCTAAAAATTTTGTGTCCCAGGTGTTCTGTTTAAAGGAAAATTAAAACAACCTTGAGGATCTCCAGCGCTTTTCTAAAGTATTTGAAAGACCCCGGAAGTGCCCTAGTGTTCTTCTTTTTAAGAACTTAATAGAGCTTTTGGGGCATCTGGTGTATGGTTTTTGAAAAAAATGAAAAGGATCTTCTGGGTTTCTGGTACTTCTTGAAAGAATTTGAAAGAATCTCAAGGTTCCTAGTGTCGAGGTGTTATTTTTGAAAAATATTCAAAAATTCATGAGACCATTGGTGTTTATTTTTTGAAGGAATTTGAAAAAAAAGTCCCGTGTATCTTATTTTAAGAAATTAAAAAATGAAGGGTCCCAGGTGTCCTGTTTTGAAAGAAATTACATAAACCTTGAGGATCTCTAGCGCTTTTCTAAAGAATTTGAAAGAATCCGGAAGTTCCCTAGTGTTCTTTTTTTTAAGATCTTAATAGAACGTTTGGGGCGTCTGGTGTATGATTTTTTAAAAAGATTAAAAGGACCTTCTGGATTTCTGGTCCTTCTTGAAAGAATTTGAAAGAATCTCAAAGTTCCCAGTGTCGAGGTTTTGTCTTTGAAAAAGATCAAAAAATCTATGAGACCACTGGTGTTTTACTTTTTGAAAGAATTTGAAAGAAAGTCCCTTTTATATCTTATTTTAAGAAATTTAAAAAATATAGCGTCCCGGGAGTTCTGTTTAAAAAGAAATTAAAAGAACTGTTAGGATCTCCAGTGCTTTCCTAAAGAATTTGAAAGAATCTTGAAGTGCCCTAGTGTTCTTTTTTTTAAGTTCTTAATCAGTAAAATTAACAACAAATATGTAAATTAAGTTGATGAATATAGTGGAAAAATAATATAATTTATAGCGTATATTGTCTGCAATTTTCAAAAAAAGTTTATTTTTGTAAAGATATCACGACGATCACAAATGAATTGACGGTATAATTTAGCCTGAACGTCTGAACTAACACACATCGTTGAAATGATATTTATTTCTATAGATTATTATGTGGTGCGAAGTTTTAATCGAAAACATGTTTATGACTAAAAGCCGTTTAAAAAACTGACATATAGAGCTGGGAAAATTATTTGATTTTTACACTCTATTATTTTTCAAATTAAGAAGTTGCTACGAAAACATGTTTTAGACATTTAATTTTTATAGTACATTTAAAAACGCCATTGCATCCCAATAGCAGACCACTAAATTGAGTAAGCGGTAGGGACATTTAACAAAGGTGCGTGTATATTTTTATTCTTATTATACATTTTAAAGACTTTTCTTTTTTTTGAAAATTTAAAAAAAACCTGTAGGGTTTCTTAAATCTTTTTCATCACATAATATTTATACACAAATAAATAATAATTTTTAATTTGGTGTAATTAACGAATTTCAGTTTTTAGGGTTATTCTAGACTGGAAATATCTAAAAAAGGTTTAAATTACAATTAGAGTCAAGATGCGTTAACCTGTTACAATGTAACCATTTGTTTAATGTTTAAAAATGTTTCAAAAGTATCAGAATATTATGTTGCAATGTAATTTTTAACTTTATTCCTGTGCTTAAAAATGAATCATATTCACCCTAGATTACGTAATGGTTACACTGATAATAAAAAGTATGCTACAATAATTTGAAACACGTGTCATGTAACCTTAGCGAACTAAATTTATTTTGACAGCACGGTTAAGCAGCGACTTTATGAAAAATGTTCCCTTTTTATTAATTTATTGAATGTCAGTGTTACCTTAACACAATTTCCACTTATCGTTTAAATAGAAAGAAATTATTTAAGAACACTTTTTTGCAAAATCTGTTAAGCATTTATGAAATGATTAAAATTTGTGACTGTTTGTGATAGCCTAAAAAATCGCCGTAATAATAGTTATATTTCAACAAAACTTAACCGCCTCATCGCCAAGCAAACTAGTCCAACTGTGAGCATCGAACTACACCGCGCCAAGCCGCCACACACCCATAACCGCAAACCGTTCTCGCGAAATAGCAAAAAAAAATCGCCCCTCGCGTCATCCTCCGGGTGTGTATCATCGACTTTTTCTCCCGTGGAGATGGCGTCGTGTCCTCTTCTCCTCGTGTGCGTCGTGTGAATCGATCTGGTCGATGGCGATGCTCCTTGTCGCTCGCTCGGCGGGCGGGCCGCTCGTGCGTCCACCCCAAGTTCTCTTCAGGAGAGCCGCCGCAAAGTGCGCTCGGCGTCTACAGCGTCCAGACGTGCAGCAGTACCACCCCTCGCCGTCGCCGAGTCGCCATCAGCTCCTGAAGACTCCGATGAGCCACCGCAGGTAGGCCATTGCTGTTAGGTGTCCCTCCCCTGCCTTACGACAGTTGAAAGTTTTTCGGCGACGCCTCCTGCGCAACCCCAAGACACCACGCAATCAGTGCTCGCCCTCCGGATGGTGATGTGGTGCTAACTAGTTCAATAAAAGTATCTTGAGTCCGGGCTGCTCTTAAAAACAAAAAACAAATTTGCCGTTACCGCGTCCGGTGCTCCAATCGCGGCCCTTTCTGGGAGGGTTTGCGCTCGATGAATCGTCGCGCCACGTCCGTCTGCTTGCAAAACAGTAACCCGAAGTGACCGAGTCACCAAAAAGACACTTTTTCTGTTAGCGGACCCTTTGGAAGGGTCCGCTTTCGATGCATCGTTGTACCGCAGCTTCTGGCCGCTGCGTCTGCTTGCAAAAAAGCCAGCCCAAGTGATTTTCTACCTATGCCGTCTCCAGAATCCGGTGCGTCCCAGCAGAACTCTTAACATTTCTGACAGGGTTCACCCTCGGCCTATTATCGTGCTGCGGCGGATTCTGATGGCATCTGGGAAATTAAACCGCACAAACATCATGCGTTGCTTATTGTGCCCTTGATCCTATCTTATCCAAGCCAAAGACAGATTCTAATCGCTCGCTCAAAGTGTAAGTCGACTTGGTGTTGTGCTGGCGATCTGTGTGCTCGTGTAGGTAAAGTGTGTTTTGTTAATGGGTGATGCTCGATGGTTATTGAATTAGAGCGTGATCGCGTATTTACCGGGGCGAGAGAGCGCTAATTTGTATCAATTTAGAGGCAACGGGTTTTTCTTCGATGACGACGACGTTGCGACGCCGCCGACGCTTCGCTAATTTCGTTAATTCGGGGTTGCTGGACGGATAAACAACGGGCTTTTGAATAAGTGGGAATCGTGGGATGCGGACCGGAAACCCGTGATAGATTTTTGATAGGTTTTTGATGGAAAATTAATTTTCAACACTATATTTATTCTGACATTATTGATATATATTTTACTACGGAAATTAAAATTAACTGATTCGCTGGTATATTAAAGACGAAACGAACATAATACTCAGATGTCATTATTATTAAATCAGTTAAATAATTAGACTAATCTATTGCAACTATTTATAAATAATGTTTAAGCTTATTACTAAATACATATGAAAGAATAAGTCAAATAATTTTATCAAATCTCTTTTTAACTTTAGGTAAAAAAGTATCTGCTATCTGGCCGCCATTTTTCCTTTTTGATAATCTATGAAAAACTGCGATATTTGCTAATAATTCTTTCATTATTCTTAATATCTTTATTTAAACTACATCACAATTATGAAAATTAAATCTAAATATCTACAATTGCTTGTTTTTTAATACGTCGATTACTAATTAATTGTTTTATTATTTGCTGCTTAGTATTTTTTTTATTGTTCAATTTTGAAGAGGTAAAGTAAAACTACAACTTTATTATTTATCCCATACCTGAAATATGTATTTTGAAATTTTACAAATTTTTACGGCTTCCGTTGTCGAGCATGCGTTTTAACACACAGTCTTAAGCGAATTAAGTAAAAAATTCAGAGTTAGTATTTTTATAGCTAGACGAGATATCTGTTGACATACCGTTTGTTTAGTATTACACTGTCATATGTACACCGAACAGTATTTCGAGATATTGAACTTTTAAAATCGTACCTAAATTATATTCTAACTTATTATCCTGATCGGCGTAAGCAATGGGCTAAATTACTAACCTAATTGCGGTAGCAATTTAGTATTTTGTAGTTATGAAAATTTTTCAATTTATGCGACAAAATGCTATTTTTGAAAAAGAGATACGATTTTGTCATTCTCAAATTTTAGTTTAAATTTATTTTATGACAGATACGATTTTGTAATTTTTAAGAAGTGATGTACAAAAATGTGTTTGTTATAATATTTTGTACATTTCATACAGTACCTAGTTATAGGATACTGAATTTTAAAAGATTTTGCATGATGTTAGTAATATTACAACCGAAAAAAATACTTGCTAGTGGTACATTACCTCCTCATTTTAGTTATCGCTTTCGGATGAATCACAGTACAGAACCATAGTTTTTCATTTTAATGCCATAATATTATTTATCCTTGATTGTATACTGATATAGTCGTATTAATAAAATTATAACAATTTATTCAAAAAGATTTACCACACTAGAGTATCAAAGAGTTGCTAAAATTGTGACAGTGCAGTGTCTAGATTTATTGGCATCAATAATTATTATTATTTGTACTTATTGCAAACAAATCTAGTAAATAAATCACAATTGAGATGGGGTGGGTGGGCGGTATTTATATTTTGCTTTGTTTCTTAATATACATAATATTCTTTGAACAACACGAGGGAGGCAAAAATGGCCGCTGTCCACTTCCACCCCCTCTTCGGCTCATGTCACCCTTTGTCCTGGGTTTTTTTTCGTTGCCAACCTTTTCCTCTTATCGCTAGCCGTCTATTGTGCGCCCGGAATTTTAATTAAAAAAAAATTTCGAATTAGATCATTACAAGGTCATCTTCAAAATTTACAGTAGTAAATATTATTTAAATTTTATAACATAAAATACTCCTGCACATGTTGTTTATAAACCCCTGTTGAATTTTTATCCTAGACATCCAGATTTTTGGCGAAAAAAATCAAAATTACAAGATCTTGATTATTTAACTTTGAAACTGCTCTGAAAATTTGGAAACGTTACGATTAGTTAAGAACATATTTCACATGATTATTTCTCATAGAAAAATAAGCATTTAACAATTAAGCTCCGCCCCTCGGCTTACGATGAATAAAAAAAATCATCAGAACTGAGATTTTATTTTATTTTTTTTAATAATGTTTTTTCTTTACTTGGGATTTGTTGGCGCGTTGTTATATTTTACTATTTGAATAAAAGTGTAATGATATATATCACAATTTCAAATGAAACGCACATACGATTTTGTTATTCCGAAACATATTGAGTTCACAAGATACGACTTCGTATTTCTTCTTCTAATAATTAAATAAATTGAAATAATATGAAAAAAATACTAGTTTTTACATATTCAAGTTTAAAACAACCTGTAATGTGAAGAATCTCAATTTCTTAAAAAATGGCGTTTACCACACTGTAATTCTAAACGAACGATACGGTAAAAACTAAGTTTGAAAACATGTTTTTGACTGTCTGAGGCGTTGTTTTCCCACTGTATTATTAATCTGATCTAAGATGTAGGTTTTAACAGAAACTATTTAAAATTAGGTTAAAAATATTTCAGTTATTACACAAACACACATACAATTTGTAGTGGGAAACTTACAAGTAATAAAAGGTGGAGAAGACAAGAAATTAAACATTCATCGAAATGGCTATTATGCTACTAAAAAACCTAAATTTATATTCCTAAATGACGAGTTAATAGAGGCAATTTCAGGATCGTTGCTTAAGCTATACTACAGTTAAATTCAGTCTAAGCTTCCAATAATCCTTTCTCTTAAACTCGTGTTCCTACGTTCCCATATCGTAAATTATGTACACCTAAGCTATTGTTAGTAAGGTAAAATACAGCATGTACTGTCTAAAACTGCTAGAAATAATCAAATCATGTCATGAAACGATATGGCATTTTCTTTCTCGTTTTTCTTTTTGATTTAGATACTTTTAGCTCACTAGAGATAAAAATTTTACAAAAATTACGGTGTTATAGTTTTCAGTCGTGCTGTCGGCTAATTATTTTTGTTCGTTTTTTCGTTAAACGTTTGAGTTGGTTTTTATGAAACAGTTTTTTTTAATTTAGTCTGTCCCAAATTTCAGCAGTCTTCCTGGCAGTGATTACGTACCTCCAAATAATAAAAAATTTAAAAATTAACCACCATATTACACCCTCGTATCCAGAATTAAAATTTTCATTCTCCAGGCTGCCATAACAACCAAGTAGAGAATATTAACAGAAAGTTGCCTCCGTTATGAAAATTTAATGATTTTGGTCTTGTTAAACAATGCATGGTAGTCGAGGGCGCTTGAAAAAATGTTCCCTAATGGCTGAATACTTTATTTTGATTATTAACTAAGTTTCATTATTGATTTTTGTTTGCGGAGTCGACGAAAGAAACTTTCTAAATTCATAAATTTTTACTCGGCCGCTTTTTCTCGAAAAGAGGGAAAACACCAACCAACCATGGAACAGTAAATTTTTCGGTTTTATTTCAGAGGCTTCACGAGGAAGATAAAATTAATTCAAAGCCGAGTGTCACCTGCATTTTTCACTTTGTTAGTGGGATTAGTCCCATCGTGCGAAAAAGTGAATTTCCCAGACTGGGAAATAAGGAGTCCAACTACCGACGAGTATAGCATTTCACGGAAAAAGTTAGAACATAGTCGAGCTGTCCTTCACAATTACCAACTTTCCCCGTTCGTTCATTTCTTGGGGGCGTAAACGTGTATCACTCCCAGAAATTGGGGTGGCGGCGTAAGGAGCGTTGATGCGTTCATTAAAACAATATTTTTGATGCGACGGATAATGAGTTCGGGTAATTGGAGCGATGCGTGTGGAGTTATAATGAGTATGGATCTGGAAGGGTAAATCAGTCAAATTAGGCGAGAATAGACAAAACTATTAACTGCACATTTCCGCGCGGATTGTTGTTTGTTGGAGAACAATTATTTCTGACACAAATTAGAATTAAAAATTGTATCTACACAACACACAACTCACACGAAATGTCTTTTTGTCCACCTAGACTTTGAAATTTAATCAACGATCTTTTGTTGAAGTAGATTATCTCAAACTTCTTGAACATGTCGTTGAATATAATCTGAAGCAGTAGGGAGGTGTTACAGGGGACTAACTCCAATATCCATTTTTCAACAAACACAGGTTTTGTGGTTGATAGGTCACGCAAGAGACAAAGTCTGGGCTTCAGAAGTAAATAAGTCAGAAATTGCATCAAAGTGCTTCGTAACTGGTGTGTCAAATGAATATTAACTGTCGTCTAAAAAAATATTT